CAAACGGAGACAGATGAATAGGGAGAACTCTGGGGAGAAACCGAGGAATATTCTAAAGGTGGAAACTACCACCTCAGAGATTTACAATATGGCGTACTCCACATTCATCGGAGAGTCTCTCCATGCTGCAAATAGCAATGACAGGAAGACCACAGGGAACTACGTCAAGAGGAAGCCAGGCTAGCCTTCTGGGGTCTGACGCTTTGCCCTTCAGGAATGTTGGACCACACACTCTCCAATCCAGGTGGGGACAGGGTAAACCAACTGGAGTTTGCGACCAACCCGCCCTCCCAAAGGAAAGGACGTTAGGTGAACTTTCTGGCATTCTCAAGTCTTCAAAGGTTCACCGTGATATTTTGACGAACTACCCCAAGTCTGGAAAATTGTTCAGTTTATGGGCCCATGGGTCTCTTAGCTCTGTGTGATACTTAACACTCACTGCATGAAGAAGTGCTGACTTCGATTTTACTATGGTTAGCGCTGTACCTGCTGAATGATAGGTGTTTCACAAATTATTGTTCTGTTTGTACTCTTCTGAGAATTGAATATAATCTAGGGTCATAGTGTTATGTAACACAGACCAATCAACTGATTTTGCATAGGCAAGCAATCTTTAATTGATGATTTTCCTCTCCTACCAGGTGCTCAATTGCTCAAAATCCAGGTCTTAAAATTGATCAAAAAGTGAGAAAATCTCTAAGGTAAGGAACGAGGAGAAGAACTTTGAAAATAAAACAAACACACAAGATCTGGCTTATGCTCTGTTAACAGAGCTTTGGGTGTTTCTAGTAAACACCTAGGTGTCAACTTGTCAATGTCTTTTTAAAAACAAAGTAAATAAAGAAAACTTTCAAAAATTAAAGTTGGAGAAAAAATGACTGGTCAACAATATCTTCTTCCCCCAACAAACCTACATATGTGTATGTCTCTGGGCCCAGAGGACTTTCTTTCTGTAGCCCAGGAGTAGTTGATTGAAGTATCAGGAAACCAGCTTTGTTCAGCAGACTAATGGAGAAATGAGAATATCTAAGACAGGGGAGGACAGGAGGTAAAGGAAAAATCCTACATGCTACTTCTCTTTTGTTGAAAACAAGGCAGAGATAGTTCTGGGAAATACCATTGTCTAAAATTAACTTCTTTGCCCTGATAAGGAAGGAGAGGAGAGAGTAAAGGCAATTATCACCAGATCTACCAACTTCTTGGACTTCTTCAGATGATCCCAGTCTCTCCTTCCTCGCTTCCCCCCACTCCCCAGAATATCTCGTATGAGCACATCTCATGCAGGACATATTACACTGTGATTGTAAGTAAGAGACTGTGAGATCCATTTCTGTATCTCCAGCCCACTGCCCATGACTGGTACACAGTAAACTCTCAGTAAATGTTGAATAAAAACTGTGGAAAGTCAACTTAAAGATAAAATTTAAGAGAGAGATAAAATTTAAAAAGATAAAATTAAAAGATAAAATTGCAAGATAAAGTGCAAATGCAATCATGTCCAAAATAAACATGGAAAAGTAGGAATTCAATTAGATCCAGATTCTAGGCTAGGTCTTATGGGAAAGGAAGGGACAAAGAAGAGGCTCTGGCAGCCATGAATCTATCCTCCATGAGGATGCTGATGCCATGTTGGTCAGGTTATGTACAGAGAGAATATTGCCATGGGGAAAGCCAAAGGTTGGCATATCCTGGTCTGGTCTGCTTATTTGAACTTCAGGTACTGTTTATAATTACAGTGGTCTCAAGACACATGATCCAATGGAAAAAATATAGAACTGAAAGTTAACAAGACATGGATTCTCCACTTAATTCTGTCACAGCATGGATGAATGGATAAAAAAGATATGGTACATATATAGCATAAATTTAGTACCATTTTTATAAAGGGAGTATAATTTTTTATACTCCATTGTATAAATGGAGTACTACTCAGCAATCAAAAAGAATTAAACCTTGCCATTTGCAACCACGTGGATGGAACTAGAGGGTATTATGATAAGTAAAATTAGTCAGTCAGAGAAAGACAAATATCACATGACTTCACTCATATGAAGAATTTAAGATACAAAACAGATGAACATAGGGAAGGGAAGCAAAAATAATATAAAAACAAAGAGGGGGACAAAACATAAGAGACTCTTAAATATAGAGAACAAACAGAGAGTTGTTGGAGGGCTTGTGGGAGGGAGGATGGGCTAAAAGGGTGAAGGGCATTAAGGAATCTATTCCTGAAATCACTGTTGCACCATCTGCTAACTAACTTGGATGTAAATTTAAAAAGGTAAAAAAAAAATCCTGTCATAGCAATCTTGGACAAGACACTTTTCCTCTCAGATCATAAGCCTCCTCCTCGACTATAAAAGAGAGGATAAGACTAGATGAAGTTTTAAATTCCCTCCAGGAAAATTCTAGAGCTGTAAAGTCTCTCTCTTTGTCTAGATTCCATTTTCTTACAAAAGTATTTTCTTAACAGTTATGATACAGATGGAATTTGGCTTTTGAAAACTAATAGAGCATCTTAGCTGATGTTAAAAACAATATAGAATCTGAACATCCAAAATGAAAGAAGAAAAACATGAAGAGGCTCAGAATGGCGGAATTAATCATAGCAGATTATAAAAAGGAGATCCCCATTTAATGGTCTCCAAAATCTCGTGAGCACTGAGTGGATCAAAGAAGTTTTGACAAGATTCTTGGGAAATAAGGAAGATGCAAGAATTATCCATCCCATTTCATACAAAGGGAAACTGACATCCAGAAAGGAAAGGAAATTCACTCAAGATCACACTCAATTATGTTTCCCGAATCTGTTCAGAAAGAACCCACAACTGCTTCCAGTGACCATGAGAATGTGGTGCTATGGCCCAGTGTAACTGGGTAGTGTCCTGGTCAACCTGGCTTTCAAAATCTCCGCTGAAATCATAGCTGCTATAGCACTGATTGCTAGAGAAAGTGACCATGTGAATAACCCAGGAAGACTCTTTAGAAGCTTCTCCATGGTCAAAGACATTTCCGCTGACTTTAGGTCAGAAAATCTGGTATCCATCCCTTCCATATGCCAACTTAAACTTTTGTACATCAAGTTCCTTCTTTGGGAGTCAAAGAACTTACTAGAGAAACTCATCAAGTGTAAAACGATCCTAGGTCAACATACTGAAACTACTGTTAGAGGAGTTTTTGGCCGATATCTACTAATTATCTAAAGCAATTATTTTTATGTACTTTTTAAATGTGTGTGTATATAACATACACTGTTCATATATGTTAAAATGTATATAATAGTATATATGTATATATGTATATAAACTATTATATGTCTATATGTACATATATGTATATTATATATATCTCCTTGAGTCTAGCTGGAGACTACACTCAAAATCAACTCCTGCTCTCTCCTCGGACTTGATATATAGCCAAGCAGGCCATTCTCGATTAACACAGCTCCCTCCTGGGAAAAGTCACAGAATAACTTTATTGATTTCCCTTTACCCTTCTCCACATTTCTCTGCTGAAATGTTGTCTTAACTCTTAAACGTAAAAGCAAAAGGAAAAGAAAATTAAAACAAAGAGATACACTTCCTTTAGGACCATGTTGATTCCCTTATATTATTTTCGATTTTCTAAAAATATTTTTAAAAAAGAAAAAAAAACAGGGTGCTTGTAAAGACAAAGGAAAATGATACGCTCTCCAAGGTTTTGTGCAACAGATTTCTTTACATTGAAACCTGTGTTTTGCACACAATGCTGGACTCCGTACTATATAAACCACTTCTCCGCGCTCTCTTGTGACTTGGCTAGCCGTCTTTGAAAACTGCCAAGACTTTCTGGCGAACAATCCCTCCAATGTTTCCAGGAGCCTACCCAGTGCATAGGAATATAGGGAATGTTTCTTTCTTATCAGATTTTCCTACCTCAAAAGATTCCCAACAAGATTAAGTATTTTACATGCAGAAAATTCTTTTGGAGTTTCTCAGATGGCAGCTTTAGAGAGGTCAAAAAACGAGGCTCTCTAGGCAGGCTTTCTGCTTGTACCTCTCATGATGACCGGGAAAGATTCACCCAGAGCCTCACTCTTGTTCTCCTCTGGCTTCAGAAGTGCCCTGTGCCCTTGATTCTGACTGTAGGACCGGGGTGGGGTCAGGATAGTGGAAGAAAGAGAAGGGAGACTCTGGAGTGCCTTAAAGGAAAAGCTCTAACAAAACGCAATTTGCATTTTCGTCACTCTCCCCTCCCCCCCCCCCAATTCCACAGATTTAGCTCTACTTACTCTAAGGCCTGAGTTCATAAAAGCCTAATAGAATTTCTATTTCTTTAGGTTCTCTTCTCCATCACCCCCAGCTTTCCCTGCAAAGGGAAGGAAAAGGATGGACTTATTTACAACACAATCGCGATCTGATTCTTCCCCCATGTTAAGCAAATAAAGATGGCTCATGAATGAATGGATTGTGTTATTTAAAGCTGAAAGCGCATGTGAGCGCATCACCCCTCAGAAACAAGCTTAAGTAAAGTACAGGAAGGAAATGAAAGGTTTGCCAGTAAACAAGGTTACAGTGATGCACACTGTTGGGTACAATTTAGTAGAGCAATTATTAACAACACGACAAGTATCTGCCTCCAGTGTACAAATAAAAGGCATGCAAAACCACAAAAGGATAGTGCTGTGCTATGCCATACTGAGGTTTAATCACAGAGTTTTTGTTTTGTTTTGTTAACAAAATGCCATTCCCCCCATTAACTTGGAAACTTGGTTTTCATTAAATGCCATTTTACTTTTTACTGGAAAAGTTTATCTTTTCTTTTTCATTCTGTGTCTCTGCACCATGTGAATCAGACAGTGATCTGGAAGCATTATGGGTAAAAGTGGTAGAAAAGCATATGAAAAATTGGGTCATCTTGTTGAAATCAAGTTCACTTCTGTGTAGGAGAGCAGGAAGAATGGGGGGAATCTGTCCTAATATTTTGCTGTCTCTGTCTCAATTTATTCCTTTCATAGGGCTTCAGCAGGGGGAATTATGTAGCAATGCAATTTGCATCCTGGTTAAATAGGAAGGCCTCTGGAGTACATTTCCAAGAAGGATCCCCCTCAAGGTGAAGGAGCCAAGATTGTAAGAGGAAACACTGTATTCTTGGGCAATATAGGCTCTTTGTTGAAACTGGCAACTGAGGGGGCACCTGGGTGACTCAGTTGGTTGAGTGTCTGACTTCGGCTTAGGTCATGATCTTGCAGTTTGTGGGTTCGAGCCCCGCATCGGGCTCTGTGCTGACAGCTAACTCAGAGCCTGGAGCCTGTTTCAGATTCTGTGTCTCCCTCTTTCTCTGACCCTTTTCCACTTGCACTCTGTCTCTCTCTATCAAAAATAAATAAACACACAAGAAAGAAAGAAAGAAGGAAACTGGCAACAGTGTTCCTGGCAACTGTGTTCCTGTTGTAGACAAGAGGGCTCCTTCTGGCTCTGGATAAATGGAACAATGGCCAGAAGCTCGGCCTATCCAGACAGTACAAAGTACGCTCCCAGTGTCCAAGATCTAATAGAAAGGTCTCTCCTGGCTTCATGGCTTCCAGGGGTTTATGTATTCATTCCAACTTCTTCTAACCTGCCTTCACAGAGAATAGGATTTGATCTAGGTTTGCGTGAATAAACATTTCTAATTAACGTGAAGTCTCGACGATGTCCTTCTCTCAACACGTTGGCTGCTCAGACTGCATAGAAGCTGTATCTTCTACCTAAAAGTAACAAGCCTTTCTGTGTTGATCTCTGACATCTAAAAGGCAGGGATACTTTTTTTAGAATTTTTCCCCCCAGATGTGAACACACCTGGGAGTACTTGCTTCATTTCTTAGTCAGCAAGAACCTAGAGCTGTGGATGCCTGGGGGAGTCATTCCAACTGAGATTAGAATTTCAAGAGAGAGAACATTTATCCGGCTCCCTTGTCGGGTGCTTACAATGCATGAAAGTACCAATCGCCCCATGGTAGACTATAGGGAATGATCAGTGTGAATTAAGTCATCTCCTCAATGATGTATTGCAAATAATTTCCCTGGTGAAATAGCAAGTTCCTGACCATGGTACTATATACAAATAAATAGACAAATGTTGTTGTGTTGTTGTTGTTGTTGTTTTCAACATTGGGAAGACCTCAGAAATATATTGTTTCAACTGATAGGCTGGAATCATTGAAAAACTTGCCTCCCCTTCCTAGTTCTTTGGCTGAAATGTATTAGGAAAATGGTGCATTAGTCATTATTTCTAATTGGGAAAAAGCCTGATTATCATAGAGAATCCTGGTTAGGTGATTTGAGGAGTACTATTGTGTTGAGGAGTAGAGACTTAAGGTAGAAGGTTTTAGCAGCAGCAGCAGCAGCAGAGAAGCTATGTGATTGGATCTGGTGTTTCATATATCTTGTATCAGAGCAAAAGGAGAAAGAATGTGCTTTGTACAAATTAACCCATAGGCCCTTCTAAACAGAACCAATATGGAACACACACACAGGTAAGATCTTCTATAAGGAAATATACTCTCCTTTCACAACAAGCCATGAACATTGCTTGTGTTATCCTGGCCAGGCTTCCTGTTTGCCCTTAAGACATTTGGGTAGGAACTCAGGAAACAACGATGCCCCCAGTTAGCCACATTCAGGATGGTAGCATCTGTTATCATCAAAATAATGGTAGGCCTGTAAACAAAGGGGGATGAGTGGTGGGGAGACAATGGGGAGTTATGCCACACACTTTGAGATAAGCCCGTTGGGCATCTCCTTTGCAACTTCTGTATATTTCACGCTATATGCAGAATCAATATTCAGGGAATACTTGGGCATTTTTCTAAACTTACAGTGATTCCAACACTCAATTGGACCAGGGCGGGGGTGCATGGAGGTGGGGGTGGTGGCATAGAATATTCTACTCTGGCAAAATTTAATGGTAAACTGGGAAGAATCCATCAAGTGCCTTGTAGAAAATCAAATGGGCAAAAGTAAAATTGAAACCAATAAGAAATAATGGAATCATTCAGGCTTGGATCTGAAGCCCAGATCTAATTAATAACTTAATAGCCACTTAATAATTCTGTGGACTTGGGCAAAGTACTTAACTTTTTGGAACCTCAGATTCCTGGCTTGTAAAATTGGGGACAATAATATTTTCTATGCCTATTTATTTCAAGGTTAAATGAGATAAGGAATATAAATTGTTCATCACAATGTATGGCCTATAGTAAGCACTCAACAATGTCAGTTTCCTTAGTTCTCTCCCTTTATTAAGGCATCTTTCTCAATTTCCATTTAACCTCTTTCTGTGTTTATAGAACACTGATTTTCTATACTGTTCAGCAAGTCTACTTAATTTAATAGTCCAATTTTGATTAAAAATCAGTGAGGGAAGGGACGCCTGGGTGGCTCAGTCGGTTACATTTCTGACTTCAGATCAGGACATAATCTCATGGCTTGTGAGGTCAAGCCTTTCATTGGGCTCTGTGCTGACAGCTTAGACCCTGGAGCCTGCTTTGGATTCTGTGTCTCCCTCTCTCTCTTCCCCTACCCTGCTCCTGCTCTGTTTCTCTCTCCTTCAAAAATAAATAAACATTAAGATGGGGTGCCTGGGTGGCTCAGTTGTTTAAGCATCTGACTTCAGCTCAGGTCATGATCTCACAGTTCCTGGGTTCCAGCCCCATGTCGAGCTCTGTGCTGACAGCTCAGTGATGATAGCTAGCTCAGAGCCTGGAGCCTGCTTCAGAGTCTGTGTCTCCCTCTCTCTCTGACCCTCCCCTCCTCACACTGTCTCTCTCTCTCTCAAAAATAAATAAAACATTAAAAATAAATAGATAAATAAACATTAAGAAAAAAATTTTTTAAATGAGTGAGTCAGGGTTCCATGTTCTTCTATTTTTTGCAAAGGTTTTGTAAGATTAGTGTTATTTAAGAGGTTAATTATTCTAAATATATGACATAGAAGGAATACAAACATTGAATAATACTTGACATTTTTGCAAAACATGCTCATAATCATAAGTCAGAATAAAGTCAGAGGAAGTCGGAAACATGCATGTGTAACTATAAATTAGACAATAAGTGGAACAGGGTGATGAAACATTGGTGGTGGATGGTATCTGTTATGTGCCAAGCACCATATAAGACAGCAGAGACTCAGAGATAAATAGGATGCAATCCTTAAACTTTAAGGCCCTTCACTTAGCATAAGAAGAGATATATGGGCAAACAACTGCATAGAAAAGTGTAAAGTACAAATGCTACCAGATAAAGTAATGGCACAAAGACTGCAATCACTTCTGTTGGAAGGGTCAGGGAAAGTTTCAAGAGGAGAAGATATCTAGGGTAGAGACAGAAAAATAATGAGGTCAGAACCTCGATAAAATGGACAAATTCCTTAAAAGATACAACTTACTAAACTGACACAGATGAAACAGAAAATCTAAATGGCCTTGTATCTCTCAGAGCAATTAAATTCATTATCTAAACTTTCCCACAGAGAAAATTCCAGTTCCACATGGTATGATTGGTGATTCCTATCAAATACTCAAAGGTTTGTAATCTTACAAAACTTTCCAGAAAATAGAACAGGAAACACTCCCCTTATTCCTTTTTTAAAATAAAAATTGGACAGGGGCGCTTGGGTGGCTTAGTCGGTTAAGCGTCCGATTTTCGCTCAGGTCATGATCTCGCGGTTCGTGGGTTCGAGCCCCGCGTCGGGCTCTGTGCTGACTGCCAGCTCGGAGCCTGGAGCCTGTTTCAGTCTGTGACTCCCTCTCACTCTGACCCTCCCCTGCTCACGCTGTCTCTCTCTCTCCTAGAAATAAATAAAACATTTAAAAATAAAATAAAATAAAATAAAAATTGGACATATAAATTAAAAGACAATCATAGACCAATATCCCTCATAAACATAAATGCAAAAATCCTTAAAAAATTTTTAATAAATCCAATCTTGCAACATATAAAGAACATTGTCTCCCATTAAGATTTATTCCAGAAACATAAGATTGATTTGTATATAATAATCAAGGTAATTCATCATATTAGTAGGTTATATGGGAAAAAGCATATCATTATTTCAATAGATGCAGAAAAATCAGTTGATAAAATTCATATTCTTTTTTTTTATTTAAAAAAACCTTTCCTATTAGGAATAAAAAAGTAATTTTTTCAATCTGATAATAGGCATTCTATAAAAACTTATTGTAAATAAAATCCTAAATGCTTAATTATAGAATTAATTCCCCATAATATTGGGAAAAAGACCGCTCTTATTCCTTCTAGTCACCATTTCACTGGACATCTTAGTAATTGCAATAAAGCAAGAAAAACAAAAGGCATAACTAGAAAAAGTAAAATTGTCTTAGTTGGTAACTGGTGTAACTATTTGTAACTGGTGTGCTTGTTTATGTAGAAAATCCTAAAATAATCTATATAACAATAGCCAGAACTAATAATTGCATTTAGCAAAATCATAAGATACAGGATTAACATATCCAAGTCAATTATATTTTTAGATACTAGCAGCAAATCGTTAGAAATGAAGAATTTTAAGCCATTTATAGTAGTGTCATAAAACACATAATAATAAGGAGGAAATGTTCTAAAATATGCATAGAGTGAGTTCGATTGGGAGTCCCAAAACATAGGTCTACCTGGAACCTCAGAATGTGACCTTTTTTGGAGAAAGGTCTTTAAAGACATAATTAAGGTAAAGATCTTGAAAACATCCTACAATAGGCTGTTCCCTAAGTCCAATGACAGAGTCTGTAGACAAAAAAGGAGACAACACTGAGTCCTAGAAGAAGACCATGTGAAAACATAGGTAGACAAGTTGGCTGAGGAATGCCTAGCAAACTCCAGGCAAAGGACAGATTCTCCCTTTAAGAGTCCAGAAGCAGGGTGCCTGGGTGGCTCAGTTTGTTAAGCATCTGACTTTGGCTCAGGTCATGATCTTATGGTTCATGAGTTCAAGCCCTGCATCGGGCTCTGTGCTGAAACTAATCAATTCACTGATAAGAAGGAACAAACTATTTACACATGTAACAGCATGGTGAGTCTCAAAATCTTTATACTGAATGAAAAAAGCCAGACACAAAAGAGTATATACGATATTGATTCCATTTCTATAAAATTGTAGAAATTGCCAGCTAATCTACAGAGACAAAAAGCAGATTGGAGTGTGCCCAGGGCCAGGGTGAGAAGAAGACAGGGTGAGAGGAAGATACAAAGGGACACACGGAAACTTTTGGAAGTGATGAAGATGTTCTGTATTTTGATTGTCATGACTGTGTGGTGGATGTGAGTTTGTCAAAACGCACCAATTGTATATTTTAAATGGATACAATTTGTTGCATGTAAATTATATCTCAATAAATTTGCTGAACATACGGATAGCAGCTAGAGAGGGGGGAAGACAGGGCATGCAGAGAGAAGAGGAACAAAGGCACGGAATACATCTATGCCTTATCTCGGGAAATAGTTTACAAATTCCCTCCAGGCAGCAAACCTGTCTTGTATTTCATCTACGGTCCTATTGGTGTCCAGAAATAAGGAG